ATTATTATTATTACTATTATTATTACTGCAATTGTAAAAGTAATTATTTTGATTATTGTTGTAAGAAGTAGAAAAATATGATATGAGAAATTTGCAATTGAAAGTTTCCTTAATGATATAAAAAAATCTTCAATATAAACAAATGTTCAGTTTGTTGTAGTGCAATAAATCATTTATTTCACTTTCTTGCAAGTAGGCTATACTAGGCCTACCTTCTAGTCTTTCCCCAAGGTTTTCAATTATTGTGCATAATTGTAATTGGGAGGAGGTGCCAAGGGATTGGCTTCTTTTATTCTCATTTCATAATGATCACAAAACTTTTTTTTTTTTTTCTTTTTTGCTTACTAATTCCTCAGTAGTTCTCAGGTTAATCAAAATAGGTGAAATGAGATTAAATTGAGAAGTAGAGACCCATCCTGCCCTTGCTCAAGTCAAGATTTTCTCTTAATAAAGTACAGGTCTTATGATGACAAATTTTTTGTGATGTACTATTACACAACAGTCTAGACTCTGTGGCTAGGCCAAAGCTTTTTACAGTCGGCTCTCCTGTTGTGAGTCATGGACCATTACATCATGACAACTATAGATGTCACTGAAAGGTTAATTTTGATCATGTATTTTTGCTGTTGCTGTAAACATTTGTGCATAATGGTATATAAAAAAATGTCATGTATTTATTGTGAAACTGAAAAAAGTGAAATGGACACCTCTTAACCATTGTTTTTATAAATGGAGCTGATTAAGGGCTAGTAAAGAAATGCTCTATCTGTTTGAATATTTTTATCCCCCTCACCCTAATGTTCAGGTGCCCCAAAACCCTAGTCTAAGAAAATCTGCAATATTGATACAAATACAGTGAAAAAAAAAAAAACCTGGATGGTGCCAGGGATGAGACCAAGTTATAAAAATAGTTAGGAAGGTTAGAGGTGGTAGAAATAAGAGTGGGGAATGGCTAATAAGGCTCATTTGCATGATCAGTGTCCAAGTATGGGGTTCAGACCAGTGCAGACGTGTGGGGTTGGAGCTTGGTGTTTACCACTATTTATTGTGTAAGGTGTTTGTATGGAACTGGCTCACCATCATCATTGGTCAGTGTGTGCGTCTGCTGGGCATGGATAATATTGTAATGAATATTACAGTAATAACAGTAGACTACGAATGGTTGTGTTGAAGTATGCAAGGAGAATATAAGGAAGAAGAAGAAAATGTAGTGAATGTTAGAATGATGATGGAAGTGAAGTAATTGCAGAAAAAGAAAGGCTTTTGGGTGCTTGTTATAAGGCATAGAGGAATAGGTATGCAAGAGTTAGAGGAAGAAAAGAAATGAAGTTAGGCAAAAGGTATAGAGAAGAGCTGCTTGAAGGTGGGATAGTACGATGACTGAGAATTCTTTAGGGAATAGAAAAATGTTTTGGAAGTAGGTTGTGTTTGACTTTTTAAAAGTGGATGGCACAAAGTCATGTAATGGCTGTTATGGATTGAGTTGGGATAGCACAGCTTGACATATTCTGCACCATTGGGATATTGATGGGAGCTCACTATTCTATGATAGTAGCAACATCGTTTATTGGTGTCACTGCCAGATATGGTCACCAAAAGTGAAATATTTTTTTTTTTCAAACATATGGAAATCAGTGATTAGGTACTCAAAAAAATAGCCAAGTTGTAATACTGAAATTATTGTTTTGATTTTTTTTCTTGCAATAGAAGGGAGGAAGCAGTGAAAGATAGAAATTATTAGTGCTTTTAGATAATTAGGCAGAAGATATATAGAATTTCATTAATAATAATAAAAAAATCTTTGAGGAAGATGGCAAGGTAAGGATAGTAACTATATGAAGTATGGAAGAGGAAAAAGAAAACACAAGACCTTGTGTTTAATGAGGAAAATAGGCCAGTGATTACAAAAGAAAGTTAGAAAAGAAATAAAGTCAGGTAAGTCAGCCAGCTTAGATTGTTGCATGGTGTCTGAAGAAGACACACTAAATGACAGGCTTAATGAATATTTTATTTTCAGTTGGTATTTTGCCTGAAGTTGCATCCCTAAGCCGTGATGACTTGGAAGACCTGCTAGCCTGTGATGACAAGCTGACTGAGTTTGTGGAAGGCCTTCCCCAGGTTGCAGCACTCAGGAACCAGTGTGAGCAGCTTTCTGCTCAGAATGAGGCATTAGCAAGTATGCAACTAATTTGGTTTGTTGTTATAGACTGTGTGTATTTTATAGTGTTCATGTAATTGCTTTCCATATTTATTTAGGGTCTTCTCCTATATGGTGTGTGACTGACACTTGTAACCTTCCCCTCAGAGGCAAATCTCGAGCGCAGCAGCGACTATGAGCGGGCTAGGGATGCCACTATCCAGAAGGTGGAGGAGCTGACTTCCCTTCGGTCAAGCTTTGAGGACATGACCATAAAGCAACAGAAAGCATCAGAAAAGCTGGCTCCAAGCAGCATTCAGGTACAGGGAAGAATGTTTAGACTATTGATTATGATTTATGTTGTGCTTTGCTTGTAAAGGCTGTCCATCATTAGTGTACACGCTTGGCAAGCAAGGAAAGGTGTTTCTAGTTAACTTTGCACTTTTGTTGCCTCAGAAAATTGTATGATGAAGTAGGAAAACACACAAGACACAGTCCAACTAAAGGATATGTTAGCAGTGGGAGCCAGTAAAACTACTACCTGAGAATGTCAACTTTACATATGCTCTTGCAATTTAATGTATAAATAATATGGCTTTTTCTCATTCAAGTGTTATATTTTATTTGTATTGCTAGACTGTTTTTCAGCAATCTTATTTGTTTTTCTTATGCTTCCAGGAAAGTCTGCTCATTTTTGCAGCCCAATCAGAAGAGGATAGTGAAAAGATTGCCGAGGACTTCCTTCACAGCCACATTGATGTCGATGCATTCTTAGACAGTTATTTGGAAAAGAGAATAGTGAGTAATGACCATGCATGGATAGATAATTGCCTTGGGCATGTGCAACTTGACCATCTATGTGGGATGAAAAAATTATTTCTTTTTATGTATACAAAATATATGCATGTTGGTAGACTTGGTACCATAATAAAAGATTTTTAGTGACACCAAAATAGCCATTTAATTGATTCAAAGAAAATAATGGTTAATGAGCATGCAAAGCAAAAAAGGAGAAAATCCAGAGAGATTCTGTCTTTTATTAACTAATGTTTAATACTTCTTCCTTATTGCAGGAAACTCATCTAAGAAAGTTTAAAGGAGAACGGCTTGGTGCCCAGCTGAGAGAACTTCACAAGGCTGGGTTTTAGCAGTATATATTTCGAAGACAAGTAACTTGATATAGATGTCATATCAGATTTTTTTTTTTGTATGACTTTTAATTAAAGAAGAGAAATTATTTAAAGAGATTGTGTAGTTTAATGTAAGGCTGCCAATTCACTTATCATAAGAAAAATATGTCAAGCTTGATAGAGATCACAGACAACACCAGAGCTGTGCTTGTTTTCATAAATCATTTAGTATTTGGATTGTATGCTCTCCATTTATTATTTTTATTATTACTATTACCATTATCATTGTTGGTGTTATTGTTATTATTATTATTATTATTATTATTATTATTATTATTATTATTATTATTGACACTTATATTCAAAAATAAAACAGCAGCTTGTCAGCATTTAATAGGCTTTTTTCTCCCAGCTTTGATTTCAATCTAAATAATTGACAACTGGAAATTCACTTATATCACTTGATTATAAGTGAAGGTTAGTTATAACTGTTTTTGCTTATTTGAAGATTAAAGAAAGAAAAGTAGATACCTCTACCATCAGAGGATATCCAAAATATATTGTACTGTATTCTGCGTTCTTCTAGGGCATTTAAAAGGCTTTTATTGCAAAATCATCAGTATTCTTAATCATATAGTCATTCCAATTAGTCTTAATGTATATACTTTCACCTTGTAACTGTTACTTTCTGTTTATTAAAGAAATGTGTACTTATGTTAGATTTTAAGAAAGTATGAAATATATCTGTTATAAAATTGGAAATTATTGTTATTATGATACCTCTGAATGTATTCATTTTCTTGTATGAATATGATTTTTTTCTTAACTGTGTGCTTTCAGTCGTCTTTGAAGACAAGAAAATTTTAAAGGGAAAAATACTTGCACAAAAATATGGAAGATTGTTGTATGACGAGTGATGAAGAGGGGCAGTAGTATTTGATATAGTATTTGTCATTATTGGCAACTATTATCATCACTATTATGATTTTTATTACCATTATCACTATCAGTGTGTTGGAATGTGAAGACAGGATGCTGGTTGTCTATTGACTTTATGTCCTATGCACTTAATAGCTACAGAAGTGCGAGGGGAATGCACTGAAGCCATACTGCCTTTTTGTTTCATATAATAGGCCTGAAAAATAGGAATGCCTTTTGCAGTGCCACCCACCTTCCTGTAAGCACTCTGTAAGCCTACATAGAATAAAAGTCAATATTAATTTGATCATAAAGGAAAAGTTCCAATATAATGTGCAGATAATGATTGAACTATAAATTACAGTAATAGTTCTTTCGTTAGGACATATTAAGATGTTTGGCAAAGGTGAAGGAGTGCTCCTCATCTCTGATGCTCTTGTGTGCTGTCACTAGAAAAAATACTGTGTTGCATAAGTATTTGCAACAACTATTTACTCCTTATAACCAAGATATCAAATGCAAATAATCCTCTTTTAGAACATTTTTTTTCTCCACTACCAGTTTTGCAGCCTCCCCATAAGAATCGGCCATTCTTTAAATAACTTCTAGAAAGGAATGTTGTGCTATAGCTCCCACTGTCTTTTAAACTGGAAAACAGAACTGGATTTTTTTTTACATGTACACCAAAGAATTATAAAAGTGTACATTGTGATTTTGACTGTTTGTAAATGCATCACAGCAGCAGGCACAGTAGTTTAAGCTGACATATTGAGGCTTTTGTTCAACAAGGAGAATGATGCTGTTTGTGCCACAACACATTTCTCTTGCCAGTTTTTGTATGATGTTGATGGTTATTTTATAGTTTTTTTTTAACTGCTATTATCATTATCATAGCTATTACTGATGCTAGAGGATGTAAGGGATGCGTCCAGAGGGATGTATATATTTAACTTCAGGATGCTGTGTCCAACTCAATTCCACCCTAAATTTAGTCCCAGCATGCTGATGCCAGCATGTTAGTACTCAGTCACAGCTGACTCTGCTGAGAGTGACTGTCCGAGTGCAAGACCTGAATTTTGCAATTATCAAAAGCATTACTACTACCAAGCCAAGCCCCCTTCTCTGTTGCTGCTACTACTCCTGTCATCATTGTAATTAAGTGTTTTGTACTTCACCTGGCACATCTGCCATAGGATACCTCTCATTCTTACTTTGTCTGTAGCATCTCTGGTGGGGGGAGGGTGGTTGTGTTGTGTGGCTATAGTTTGAATGAATGGATGTGAGTGTGTAGCAGCAGCAGCAGCAGCAGCAGTAGTAGTGAATGGTTATGAGCCTCACAAATGAACTTACAAATGAACCTTTAACATTTTTATTATTGGCGGAGAAATAGAAAAAAAGCAATGTTAAGTATTTTTAAAATACAAAACAGAAGTAATGTAAATTATTTAGATCCAATTTTTTTTTCCTTGTTTGACAGGGTGCTTTAAATCATATTTCAAGGAATGCCAACCTTGTTGGCATTCAGTCAGTCAGGAAGATATTGTTGACTTTAATTAATTAATTTTTGTCATCTTGTCTCATTAGGATTGGCCATGGTGTTGCCCGGACTTGTCATTTGTTATATGTTTGTGAAACAGAATTTTTATTTTGGGGACCATTTCCCTCTCCCCATGTGTGTGCATAAAGGTCCCTGTGTTTTTTACCTCTTTATTATGCTAGGGACCATTTTCCCCCTTCCCATCTGTGTTTATAGAAACTTAAAAAAGTAGGTAAATTGGAGAAATTGCAATATCCATTATTTCAAGGAAAGTTAGAATTGAGGAAGGCAGTGAGGTCTTAGTACAATTTGCCCTGAAGAACCAATATTGCAAAGAGGTCTTTGGCATTTTCATGTCCTTCCTTTTGTTGTTTTAATTACAAGTCATGGGAGAATCTTGCCTTGGGTTATTGTTGCAGGATAGCAAGTGATAGGGACATCTTACCATGCTCAGGTCACTCAAGTAAGCCAGATTTTGTAGCACAATATATTCTGCTCTGGTTGGAGCCATAGCTGATATTATGTAATATATCATATTTTTTCTCCTCTTTTAATTACTGCAGTCAATTACTTGACAAAATAACCTTCAATTAATATGTACCAGCTTCATTTTTTAAATCAGACCTTAATCTGAATAAGAGTATTTTAAATCAGACCTTAACCCGTTGCCCCCGGGTGACACGTACATACATGCCATGGCTGTTTTGGACCGAACGCCGGGAGCATCATGTCATGCCCAGTCCCGGGCTACTGGCTCGTCGGACGGAGGTTGTTCTTCTCCGATAGTAGCGGCTTCATTTATATGGTAAAGATTTTAGGCATTGGCACCTATAATGAAGGCAAACCTTCAAAATTTTAAGAATTTTATAAATTTTAGCAAAATAAAAGCTTTTAGGTGCTATATGTCGCTCGCAAACTACCGATTGAGCCGGGCGCAAACAAGGGAAACTGCCGGTGCGCGCCAACAAGCCCGTGCATACGTCAACTTGCCAAAATTTTTAACCGTCGGCAATGGGTTAATATGAAGAAGAGTATTTTAAATCCGACCTTAATCTGAAGAAGAGTATTTTAAAACCGACCTTAATCTGAAGCAAAGGAGTTCAGACATATTATACATGGCTGCACGTGTTTCAAACATATATCAAGCATTATTTAAATAAAAATATAAGGTTATTCTTATGACATGGAGTCCACTGTGTATGTTTAGTGACATGACACTGCATTTTGCCACCCAGAGCAAAATATATAAAGGACCCAATGGTTAATTTCAGATACATACATATTTTCCTGTCCTTTCTGGATGACACAAGATGATTTCAGATATATCCACTTTAAGAGATGTTGAACACGTATACTCTTAATAGTGGATGACATAAGAAAGACAAAACAATAACAAGTACGTATGCCCTGTATCCTCATGGAGATTATTTCAGTTACATATAATTGAACCTTTGCATCTTGCTCTTCCTCCAAATAACATGTCTGGAATTCAAAAAAGTAAGTCTGCAGTTTTACACCATTGGAATAAAAAACATTGCAGTTAAAATAGGAAGTAAAGAAGACAAAAAAATCCTTTATCTCTTGCTTTTAATTAATTCTTACACCTCCTACTTCCTGAGTATAAACTGCTGTACATTATTTACTTTCTATACACATTAATCATACAATGGAATTCATCTGGGAAAGCATAGAGAAGAATTGCATCATGTACCAACTCATGACACTTCCCACTTCATCCAACTAGGCAAAAATTTAATAAAAGAAATGTTTAATATACCAATCCTAGGATACAATTCAGTTGTTATATGAGGTAGTAAATGATGTCTAATAAATGTAACCATGAGTGCCATTAGTGTATTAATACCATTAATTTTGTTGTGATAAAATTTTCACAAAAATATTTAATATCATGAGAAACTGGCCCATCAGAAGTCATTCTAAGATAACTGATAAAACTTCTCTTTCCCTGCAAAACAGGCTAATCAAAGTGGTAGTCAATGCCCAAAGAGTGAGAATCATGACACATCAAAACAAGTAGGCATTGGAAGCCATCAAAACAAAATGTAGACGGTGGAGCCTATCTGAAAAAGGGAATAAGCTCTGGGGTGTTCTTGTAGTAGGCCCTGTACTGAGGCGATGTGCCCCACTTCTTCATTGCATAGCTCTCCAGCATAGGGATCCCAGAGACACGGGTGATGAGCAAGTAGTCCATCAGCGGGCACAAGACTGATTGAGAAAAAACACAGAATATAGCTGCATACAAAGCACAAGAGAGAGACTGATCAATATGATAAAATGGACACATGGCAAAACTGGTGACATACATGTGTGTTCTCAAGGAAATAAATAAATTAAATTGAACTGAAAAATACACGATCACTTTTCACATTCATGAAGAACTTACTTGTGAGGTACTCCCAGCCTGAGAAGGTAGATGAGGCACTGACATAGAGGCCAAACCAGAGCATGATCTCTCCAAAATAGTTGGGATGGCGAGACAGGGACCAGAGGCCAGTGTTGATGAACTTGTCCTAAGGATGGATATGGGTTATGTCAGTGATTCATGATAAGAAAATTAACTGCCATTACAAGAATGACACAGAAATGTCCATGGACTGTGTGATGGAAAATGAATTCAAGTATTCTCTCAAGTCCACAAAATCAAATGGAACATGAAAAATTTCCTGCATGTGCATAGATAGAAGACACCAGCTTTAAGACCAAATATCTTTAATAATAATTGCAAAGAAATTTCAAAACTAACTGTAACACTTAAATGTACATACAACACCTTATTCTGAAACATCTTTCTTCCCTAAGGATCACAGATGCTAAAAAAAAAAGGAAAGACTCAAACATACCTTATTAGCTGGATTGTTTCTCCAGACTGTCTTCTGGTAATCAGCCACTACTTCAATGAGGAAGCCTGCCAGCCAGATGCCCCAACCCGCATAGTCTCTTGTGCTAAGGGGGCGCTGGCGGGGTGACAAAACGGCTAACAGGCTTGGCAGGATTGTGACAATGACCCACACCCCTGGAGTTATGGGATATGGTACATGATATTTCAGTTATAAAATTTGATATAAACAATAGCAAGAAACTTACTATATAATATGAATGTTAATATTCATTAGCATGTAAATACAGTCAAAATGATATATGTTTCTTGATATTGTGCCACTAAAGACTGGAATCTATTTACTCATATATATTATATGGAATATTTGGCTCAATTAATCATAATAATTTCATATCACAAAAATCATTGGCCAGAATTAGTACACAAAAATCTCTGGTTTACAGAATAACATGCATCTTGTAAAGGTTGCAATACACTAATTATCAGAGTAATAAATATTCTACAGATAGATATACAGGTTAGAATTACACTAAGTCAAAGGGCTTACATTCTCTAATAGGGAAAAAAAAAAACTAGTGCATTATTCACCCAGCCTAAAGATCAGCAGACATTACAAACACAAAAAATTAACCGCAAGTATAGGCAGGCACCCTTAATATATTCCTGCACCCCTAGCCAATTTACAGATTGTCACATCCAATGAACAATCTTTAAAATAGACATCAACCCATAGCAAGGCAAGCACCCACCTTGAATGGTCCAAGCATAGAAGAACCGGGATGGATTCGCTCGGGTTTTATCAAATCTGCGGTCCCTTCCGGCCTTTACAATGCGGGTGAAGAGAAAGGCTCCCAACCTAATTCAAAGCAGTTGAAAACCCAGAAGTTTAGAAGCTACTCTTATCCAATCTCTTTTCTATTTACTTAAAATTTATTCTTAGAGTTAGTTACCAAAAGAGGCTGAAGATAAAAATGACGCTGTAGAGAGAATAATGCTCTTCCAGCTGGGATATCAAATGGATATGAGATCTCCTTTGGCCCGCACAATCATACATTATTTTAAGACAATAAATAATAAAAATGAGATATTCCAAAATTAACATGTTGTACCCGTAGCTACTTCACTTTCATGTTCAAATTCTGCGCTATTGTTATTTTTTATTAATGATACAAATGACCTTTCTAAGACCTCTTGATGATAAATGAAAACTGAAAGAAACTGCCAATGATCCTTAGACCTAGCACCAGTCTAAACATTTGAGCACACTGCTTGTAAAAAAGTGAGCTTCAATTTGATTTACACCAATATATTTTTGTGGGACATCATTTGTACATTGTATGGACTAATGGTTTCTTATGGTTATAAAGACATTCAAATAAATATACATGCACACATACAGATATAAATATATATATGCA